AAACAGTATGAATAAGAAAAAATCCGGACAGCTGCACTCTGAAATTGGACCCTCTTTATTGTTGCATATAAAACAGCAACCAAACTCAGTAGGGGAGCAGAGGGAAGTCAACGTGTTTCAGCTACTCTAGCTCTTCATCTTGACTAAGCACTAGAGCAGTATGAAACGCGTTGAACATATCTGAAGCTTCTGGTTACACTTGGATAAGGAAAAATCTGGCCAGCTGCACTTCAAAATTGGACCATCTTTATTGATGCATATAACACAGCAACCAAACCCAGTAGGGAAGCAGAGGGAAGTCAACGTGTTTCATGCTACTCTAGCACTTAATCATGACTAAGCGCTAGAGTAGTACGAAACGCATTGACGATATCTGCAGCTTCTGGTTACACTTAGATAAGGAAAAATCTGACCGGCCGCACTGTGAAATAGGACTATCTTTATGAATGCATATAAAATAGCAACCAAAGCCGGTAGGGGAGCAGAGGAAGTCAATGTGTGTCAGGGATACCCCAGGATACGATACAGCAGCCCGAAACGCGTTGACCATACCTGAAGCCTCCAGTTACACTCGGATAAGGAAAAATCCATCGAGCTGTACCGTGAAGCTGAACCATCATTATTGATGCATATAAAACAGCATAAAGCAACAACCAAACCATGTAGGGAAGCAGAAAAAAAAGTACAAAACAGCAGCCAAACCCCACAAGGGAGCAGCGGAAAGTCAACGCCTTTCAAGCTGCTCTACCTCTTAATTGTGACTAAGTGCTAGAGCAGTGTGAAACGCGTTGACCATATCTGCAGCTTCTGGTTACAGTTAGATAAGTAAAAATCTGGCCAGCTGCACTTCGCAATGGGACCATCTTTATTTATTGTGCATAAAACAGTATAAAACAGCAAACAAACCCCGTAAAGGAGCAGCGGAAAGTCAACGCTTTTCTAGCTGCTCTAGCTCTTCATCTTGACTAAGTGCTAGATCAGTGTGAAATGCGCGTTGACCATATCTGCACCCTCCGGTTACACTTGGATAAGGAAAAATGTGTCCGGCTGTACTGTGAAGTAGAACTATCTTAATTGATACATATAAAACAGCAAAAAACAACAGCCAAACCCTGGAAGGGAGCAGAGGAATGTCATGTTATAACTGTTCTGCCTCTTAAACATGAGCAGCAAAACGCGTTGACCGTATCTGCAGCCTCCAGTTACCCTTGGATAAGGAAAAATCTTGCCGGCTGCACATCCAAATAGGACCATCTTTATTGATGCATATAAAACTTTACAAAACAGCAACCAAACCCTATAAGGGAGCAGCAGAAAGTCAACACCTTTCAAGCCGCCCTAGCTGTTCATCTTGACTAAGCACTAGAGCAGCTTGAAATGCGTTGACCATATCTGCAGCCTCCGGTTACACTTGGATAAGGAAAAATGTGTCGGGCTGTACCGTGAAGTAGGACTATCTTTATTGATGCATATAAAACAACAACCAAACCAGTAGAGGAGCAGAGGAAAGTCAACATGTTTCGAGCTGCTCTAGCTCTTAATCGTGGCTAAGCACTATTGCAGTGTAAAACGCGTTGCCTTTCCTCTGCTCCCCCTGCGTGGTTTGGTTGTTGTTTTTTATATGAATCAATAAGGATGGTCCTTTTTTGGACTGCAGCCGGCCAGATTCTTCTTTATCCAAGCGTAACCAGAGTCTGCAGATGTGGTCGACGCATTTCATGGTGATCTAGAACTTAATCATGACCAAGCACTAGAGCTGTGTGAAATGCGTTGCCTTTCCTCTGCTCCCCCTATGGGGTTTGGTTGCTGTTTTATATGCATCAATAAAGATGGTCCTTTTTTGGACTGCAGCCGGCCAGATTCTTCTTTATCCAAGCGTAACCAGAGGCTGCAGATGTGGTCGACGCATTTTGCAAAGCCCTAGCACTTAGTCATGACCAAGCATTAGAGCAGTGTGAAACGCGTTGCCTTTCCTCTGCTCCCCCTGCGTGGTTTGGTTGCTGTTTTATATGTACCCGTAAAGACAGTCCTTTCTTGGAGCGCAGCCAGCCAGATTCTTCTTTATCTAAGCGTAACCAGAGGCTGCAGATGTGGTCGACGCATTTCACAAAGCTCTAGCACTTAGTCATGACCAAGCACTAGACCAGGGGTAGGCAATCTGAGAGCAGCAGGACTACAAGTTCCATCATGCCTCTGCAAGTCATAGCTGTAAACTGTTAGTTTTGTAATCTTTGCAATGCCTCATGGGAAATGTAGTTCCACAACAGCTAGAGAGTTACATGTTGCCTACCCCTGCACTAGACCTTTGTGAAACGCGTTGCCTATCCTCTGCTCCCCCTACATGGTTTGGTTGTTGTTTTATGCTGTTTTATATGCACCAATATAGTTCTTTTTCAGAGTGCAGCCGGCCAGATTCTTTTTTATCCAAGTGTAACCAGAGGCTGCAGATGTGGTCAACGCATTTTGCAAAGTTCTAGCACTTAGTCATGACCAAGCACTAGAGCAGTGTGAAACTCGTTGCCTTTCCTCTGCTCCCCCTATGGGACTTGGTTGCTGTTTTATATGCATCAATAAGGATGGTCTTTTTTTGGACTGCAGCCGGCCAGATTCTTCTTTATCCAAGTGCAACTAGAGGCTGCAGATGTGGTCGACGCATTTTGCAAAGCTCTAGCACATAGTTATGACCAAGCACTAGAGCAGTGTGAAACGCGTTGCCTTTTCTCTGCTCTCCCTATGGGGTTTGGTTGCTGTTTTACATACATCAATAAGGATGGCCTTTTTTCAGAATGCAGCCGACCAGATTCTTTTTTATCCAAGCATAACTAGAGGCAGCAGATGTGGTCGACGCATTTCACGCTGATCTAGAACTTAATCATGCCCAAGCACGAGAGCAGTGTGAAACGCGTTGCCTTTCCTCTGCTCCCCCTATGTGGTTTGGTTGCTGTTTTATATGCATCAAGAAGGATGGTCCTGTTTCGGAGTGCAGCCGGCCAGATTCTTCTTTATCCAAGCGTAACCAGAGGCTGCAGATGTGGTCGACGCATTTCGTGCTGATCTAGCACTTAGTCATGACCAAGCACTAGAGCGGTGTGAAACGCGTTGCCTTTCCTCTGCTCCCCCTATGGGACTTGGTTGCTGTTTTATATGCATCAATAAGGATGGTCTTTTTTTGGACTGCAGCCGGCCAGATTCTTCTTTATCCAAGTGCAACTAGAGGCTGCAGATGTGGTCGACGCATTTTGCAAAGCTCTAGCACATAGTTATGACCAAGCACTAGAGCAGTGTGAAACGCGTTGCCTTTTCTCTGCTCTCCCTATGGGGTTTGGTTGCTGTTAACATACATCAATAAGGATGGCCTTTTTTCAGAATGCAGCCGACCAGATTCTTTTTTTATCCAAGCATAACTAGAGGCAGCAGATGTGGTCGACGCATTTCACGCTGATCTAGAACTTAATCATGCCCAAGCACGAGAGCAGTGTGAAACGCGTTGCCTTTCCTCTGCTCCCCCTATGTGGTTTGGTTGCTGTTTTATATGCATCAAGAAGGATGGTCCTGTTTCGGAGTGCAGCCGGCCAGATTCTTCTTTATCCAAGCGTAACCAGAGGCTGCAGATGTGGTCGACGCATTTCGTGCTGATCTAGCACTTAGTCATGACCAAGCACTAGAGCGGTGTGAAACACGTTGCCTTTCCTCTGCCCCCCCCCCATGGGATTTGGTTGCTGTTTTCATGCATCAATAAGGATGGTCCTGTTTCGCAGCGCAGCCATCCAGATTCTTCCCTATTCACATGAATCCGGAGGCTGCAGATCCACGGAGACGGCCTCCCCGCATCCGGCAGAGTGAATAACTCGCCTCAAATTAAACGGAGTGGATTTTCTGCCTTTCAGCGGACTTGCGGCGTCTGCTGGATGGCAGTCCACTTATTGATCGAACTTCTCGACTGGCCGTCTGTTTGACATTCCCATCGCTCTGGGCGCTGTCTTATTGAATCAGCCTGAAAGTCTCATTGAGAAAATTGGATTGCGCTGGAGGTGTGATAGATAGGAGCGTTCCGCGGACATCACGGAACGCCGATAATGCAATTGTCCCGGGATGCCGGCCTCAAAACATTATTAAAGGAGGAATTACAAGAGGAATACATTAACCCCATTTTTGTTTTTTTTTTTATTTCTAATTCGCCATATGGAAAGGAATCGTCCGTCGTCCAGCGTTTTGTTTTATAAAGTTGTAAAAGAATGTAACACTTAAATCTGACCTCCGGCCTTCCATTGCACAGCTGTACCGGCTCCTCTCCTGGACTGTAATGGCTCCCACTGATTTCTCTGCACACTGTGAGCTTCTCACAATGTGCATTAGAAGCTGCAGCCAGTCAGATAGAGCCCCGCCTCATTTCCTGGCTGGAGGACACCCAGCATCACCTAGCCCTTTCCTCCCCAGCCTGACTGTCCCTGGCCCAGCTCCTTTTTGTTGCATACAGTTCTTTAAAAAGTGTCACTAAACCCACAACAGTACAATCAGTCTGTAGATGCAGTAAAGCATGCTTGTTATACTCACTGTGGAACCTAAGGGGTTGATCCTGAATTGTGTAAAAAGACTGTTTGATCCTGTCTTCTCTGATCCTCCCCTTCTTCCAGTGCCCCCCTATTATCTCTTGATAAGGCATATCGTATGGAGTCACTCTGCACATGCTCAGTTTGGTGTGTATTTGCTAGAGAGGTTTTTTTTTTTTTTTTCTTGGGAGAGTGCATGTGATCAGCACAGTGCCAATCCGCACTGTCCAGAAAGAGGTCAGGGGTTCTTCATCCTCCTAGAGAAGAAAGAAAACTCCTCCTACAAGCTTTAACCAGTGCTCTGCTGGACACTGATAGAAGTCACAAGATTATTATATGCTGCTGATGAGAAAAGGGATTTAGCAGTTTATATTTACTAAAATAATTGCATTTCCATGTTCTGTGTACTGTGGGAGAGCAGATATAGTGAAGGCAGGGTCTGGGGAGAGCGGATATAGTGAATGCGGGGTCCGGGGAGAGCGGATATAGTGAATGCGGGGTCCGGGGAGAGCGGATATAGTGAATGCGGGGTTCGGGGAGAGCGGATATAGTGAATGCGGGGTCCGGGGAGAGCGGATATAGTGAATGCGGGGTCCGGGGAGAGCGGATATAGTGAATGCGGGGTCCGGGGAGAGCGGATATAGTGAATGCGGGGTCCGGGGAGAGCGGATATAGTGAATGCGGGGTCCGGGCAGAGCGGATATAGTGAATGCGGGGTCTGGGGAGAGCGGATATAGTGAATGCGGGGTCCGGGGAGAGCGGATATAGTGAATGTGGGGTCTGGGGAGAGCGGATATAGTGAATGCGGGGTCAGGGGAGAGCGGATATAGTGAATGCGGGGTCCGGGGAGAGCGGATATAGTGAATGCGGGGTTCGGGGAGAGCGGATATAGTGAATGCGGGGTCCGGGGAGAGCGGATATAGTGAATGCGGGGTCCGGGGAGAGCGGATATAGTGAGTGAATGCGGGGTCCGGGGAGAGCGGATATAGTGAATGCGGGGTCCGGGGAGAGCGGATATAGTGAATGCGGGGTCCGGGGAGAGCGGATATAGTGAATACGGGGTCCGGGGAGAGCGGATATAGTAAATGCGGGGTCCGGGGAGAGCCGATATAGTGAATGCGGGGTCCGGGGAGAGCGGATATAGTGAATGCGGGGTCCGGGGAGAGCGGATATAGTGAATGCGGGGTCCGGGGAGAGCGGATATAGTGAATGCGGGGTCCGGGGAGAGCGGATATAGTGAATGCGGGGTCCGGGGAGAGCGGATATAGTGAATGCGGGGTCCGGGGAGAGCGGATATAGTGAATGCGGGGTCCGGGGAGAGCGGATATACTGAATGCGGGGTCCGGGGAGAGCCGATATAGTGAATGCGGGGTCCGGGGAGAGCCGATATAGTGAATGCGGGGTCCGGGGAGAGCCGATATAGTGAATGCTGGGTTCAGGGTTTAGTCACACTTTAAGACCACATGTGGGCGCTATGTAGCTAAATATATTCTGCCTAGAACATCTACTCCTGCAGACTGACACCCCATCCTTGAAGACATTTTGCTATTTGCATAAGGGTCAGCCCACTGCTTGCATCAGGGCTGAGGGCTCTTGAGAGGAGTACTGAGGCAGGTTGCTGTGATGTTTTCAGCAAGCTATGTACAGCACCCTGCCAGCCCCCCCACCAGCCACGATCTCCCTGCATTACATAGAGAAGCACAAAGACCCAGTGATGACATCACTGGGACTGATATAAGGTTTGCAATAAAAATGGAAAAGTTTTATTTAAAAAATGTTATGAGCATGTTGATGATGAGGGAGGAGCAAAGGAAGACAAACTATATGCAGATTAATATTCAGCTTTAAGCAGATGTTAACATTTTTATGACCATTATTTTCAAACTGCCATTATAACAAAAAAAAAACCCAAAAAACAAAGAGGAACATTTATAGGGAAAGTTGATCCAGGGAATATCCGATTGCCTCTCGGGGGATCAGGAAGGAATTTTTTCCCTGCAGGAGCAAATCGGATCGTGCTTTGCTGGGTTTTTGCCTTCCTCTGGATCAACTGTGGGTGTAGGAGTATATCTTTATTTTTTTATGGTTGAACTGGATGGACTTTTGTCTTTTTTCAGCCAGACTAACTATGTAACTATATAACTATGTAACATGCTACAATTGCCTAAACTACATCAAAATTGTGAGAAATTCTGAAGTAAAACTGTTTTCGCCAAAATCCCTGTACTCTCCTCTACTAAACCGTATTCTTAACCATTTCATGGCTGGAGATCGTTGTAGGCGAGATGCCCACACCAGGTTTAGCAGCATCAGTGTGCCTAATTTGTCAAATGTTTACATTGGGTTTTAAGGACATCTCAAGTTTTGATTTGGTACAATTTAGCAATTAACACCCAGATCAAATGTATTCATAGGCTGCAAAATGGACAAAAATGTTACAAATCCACATTTTTAACCCCTTCCAGTCCGGACACTTTCACCCCCTTCCAGTCCGGACACTTTCCCCCTTTCCAGTCCGGACACTTTCACCCCCTTCCAGTTCGGACACTTTCACCCCCTGCCAGTCCGGACACTTCACCCCCTTCCAGTCCGGACACTTTCACCCCCCTTCCAGTCCGGACACTTTCCCCCCCTTCCAGTCCGGACACTTTCACCCCCTTCCAGTCCGGACACTTTTCCCCCCTTCCTGTCTGGACACTTTCACCCCCTTCCAGTCCGGACACTTTCACCCCCTTCCTGTCCGGACAGTTCCACCCCCTTTCAGTCCAGACACTTTCACCCCCTTCCAGTCCGGTCACTTTCACCTCCTTCCAGTCCGGTCACTTTCACCCCCTTCCAGTCCGGACACTTTCACCCCCTTCCAGTCCGGACACTTTCACCCCCTTCCAGTCCGGACACTTTCACCCCCTTCCAGTCCGGTCACTTTCACCCCCTTCCAGTCCGGACACTTTCACCCCCTTCCAGTCCGGACACTTTTACCCCCTTCCTGTCCGGACACTTTTACCCCCTTCCTGTCCGGACACTTTCACCCCCTTCCAGTCCGGACACTTTCCCCCCCTTCCAGTCCGGACACTTTCCCCCCCTTCCAGTCCGGACACTTTCCCCCCCTTCCAGTCCGGACACTTCACCCCCTTCCAGTTCGGACAATTTCACCCCCTTCCAGTCCGGACACTTTCCCCCCCCTTCCAGTCCGGACACTTTCACCCCCTTCCAGTCCGGACACTTTCCCCCCCTTCCAGTCCGGACACTTTCCCCCCCTTCCAGTCCGGACACTTCACCCCCTTCCAGTCCGGACACTTTCCCCCCCTTCCAGTCCGGACACTTCCACCCCCTTCCTGTCTGGACACTTTCCCCCCCTTCCTGTCTGGACACTTTCACCCCCCCTCCAGTCCGGACACTTTTTCCCCCCCTTCCTGTCTGGACACTTTCACCCCCTTCCTGTCCGGACACTTTCCTCCCCTTCTAGTCCGGACACTTTCACCCCCTTCCAGTCCGGACACTTTCCCCCCCTTCCTGTCTGGACACTTTCACCCCCTTCCAGTCCGGACACTTTCACCCCCTTCCAGTCCGGACACTTTCACCCCCTTCCAGTCGGGACACTTTCCCCCCCTTCCAGTCCAGACACTTTCCCCCCCTTCCAGTCCGGACACTTCACCCCCTTCCAGTCCGGACACTTTCCCCCCCTTCCAGTCCGGACACTTTCACCCCCTTCCTGTCTGGACACTTTCCCCCCCTTCCTGTCTGGACACTTTCACCCCCTTCCAGTCCGGACACTTTCCCCCCCCTTCCTGTCTGGACACTTTCACCCCCCTCCAGTCCGGACACTTTCCCCCCTTCCTGTCCGGACACTTTCATGCCCTTCCAGTCCGGACACTTTCATGCCCTTCCAGTCCGGACACTTTCCCCCCCCCTTCCTGTCTGGACACTTTCACCCCCTTCCTGTCCGGACACTTTCACCCCCCTTCCTGTCCGGACACTTTCCTCCCCTTCTAGTCCGGACACTTTCACCCCCTTCCAGTCCGGACACTTTCACCCCCTTCCTGTCTGGACAGTTCCACCTCCTTTCAGTCCGGACACTTTCACCCCCTTCCAGTCCGGTCACTTTCACCCCCTTCCAGTCCGGACACTTTCACCCCCTTCCAGTCCGGACACTTTTACCCCCTTCCTGTCCGGACACTTTCACCCCCTTCCAGTCTGGACACTTTCACCCCCTTCCTGTCTGGACAGTTTCACCCCCTTCCAGTCCGGACACTTTCACCCCCTTCCAGTCCGGACACTTTCACCCCCTTCCAGTCCGGACACTTTCACCCCCTTCCAGTCCAGGCCAATTTTCAGCTTTCAGCACTATCACACTTTGAATGACAATTGCGCGGTCATGCAACACTGTACCTATATGAATTTTTTAGCCTGTTTTTGAGACACATAAAAATTTATTTTGGTGGTATTTGTTCACCACTGGGATTTTTATTTTTTTTTTGCTATATAAATGAAAAAGTCCAAAAGTTTTGTTTTTCTTATAAGTTTGTAAATAAATAATGTTTCTTCATAAATCTTTGCCAAAATGTATTCAGTTATCATTTTAGTAAAAAAGAAATAACCCAAATTAGTTATAACCAAAAATTATAATTAAAAAAAAAAATATTTTACATTTTTATTTTATTTTTTTTATATTATTTATCTTTCTTGTTTTTTTTGTATAACATACTGTCACCCTAGCAATACAGTGACACCATAGTGACACTGTACTACTTGTGGGGGGTGATGAAGATTTTTTTTTTTTTTTACATTGATCGCGTTTACCCCCCTAAAGGCTGTAAAAGCAATCATTTCTCCTCTCTGGCTGCATTCCTGCAGCCATTGAGAAATACTGAGTGAGCTGTGATTGGTCACAACCTGTCACATGGTACAAGGCTGTTGTGAATAGCCCTGTACCATGTGACCTCGGTGATCATTCACAGATTTCACACGTAGTAATCAATGATGCCAGAAGTGACATCTTGTTTACTACTATTCATGTGATCTCTGATTGGCCAATCAGTGATCACATGATCGAGACCTCACACAGAGGTCCCATGCAGGGAGCACGCACAGGCTGTAAATGTTTATAAACGGCAACCAGCTCCTGCACTGCTCCCATCTGGCCGTTTATGTACATGGGCTGGACGGGAAGTCGATAAAAATGTTTTCTTTACTTTTTTAACCACTTTGCCTCTCCCCGCTGCTCACCCCCCATGGACCAGAGAAATTACATTTCTGCTATGGACCTGTTTATTCAGCAATAACTTTGTCATTACTTAAAATAACACGGTAATCTATATTTTTATATTTTTTTAAGGACAAACAAGGCTTTTTTTTTCATTATGTTGTCTTGAAATGGTGATTTTTTTTTGCTATCCTTGGAGAATAAAACAATATGCAGAACAGACTTTTTCTTTTTTTTAAGTTATTTAAAAATATGTAGTGCTACTGCAGATAAAACTGCACATTTTATTCTGTAATATATCCCATTTAAAATGACACTAAATTCATGATTCTGGTGAGCAACGTATTTATCCCAAGGCAAGCAAGGCATTTGCCAAGGGTGGCGCCCCCCCGGAAGTGAAAGGGATGGGGACCTGGTCAGCTCCACCATGAGATCCCGAAGAGGCCAAACACACGAATGGCCGAAATTGCGTTTTGACTCAAACATCTACCTAACACTACTTTCAATGGTATTCCCAGATACCTCACCAGGACCTTCAGTGGTATTTGCGGATTCCCTGCCAGGACTTCCAATAATACTTGCAAATCTCTTACCAGGATTTACGAGGACTTCCAATGGTACTTCCAGATATCCCGCCAAGACTTCTACTGGTACTTGCAGGTTCCCTTTCGCAGATAGCCTGCTAGGACTTTAAGTGGCTCTTGCAGATTCCCTGGCAGGAATTCCAATGGTAGTTGCAAATCCCCTGCCACGACTTCCAATGGTACTCAGATAATCCCTGCTAGGACTTCCAATAGTACTCAGATAATCCCTGCCAGGACTTCCAATGGTATTCAGATAATTCCTGCTAAAACTTCCAATAGTACTCAGATAATCCCTGCCAGGACTTCCAATGGTACTCAGATAATCCCTGCCAGGACTTCCAATGGTACTCAGATAATCCCTGCTAAAATTTCCAATGGTATTCAGATAATTCCTGCTAAAACTTCCAATAGTACTCAGATAATCCCTGCCAGGACTTCCAATGGTATTCAGATAATCCCTGCTAAAACTTCCAATAGTACTTAGATAATCCCTGCCAGGACTTCCAATGGTTCTCAGATAATCCCTGCCAGGACTTCCTATGGTACTCAGATAAT